GGATCCAACAAAGGCCTCTTCAGGTACCAACACACGTGTGTATACCACACACACACACACACACACACACACACAGAGTTATATGTATTATGTATTATAATATAATTATAAATAATAAAAATGCAAAATTAACAGTGCCTCTGTCTTAGGGTTTTACTGCTATGAGAAGACACCATGACCATAGCAACTCTAATAAAGGAAAGCGTTTCATTAGAGCTGGTCCAGTATCATCATGGCAGGAGCTGTGACAGCGACCAGGCAGACATGGTGCTGGAGAAGAAGCTGAAAATTCTACATCTCAGTCTTCAAACAGCAGAGGACTGTGTGCCACACTGGATGTAGCTTGAACATATGACACTTCAAACCCCACCTCCACAGTGACACACTTCCTCCAACAGGGCCACACCTACTCCACCAAGGCCACACCTCCTAATAGTGCCACTCCCTATAGGCCAAGAATTCAAACACATGAGTCTGTGGGGACCATTCCTACTCAAACCACCACAGACTCTATTAAAGAAAGCATCTGACTTATAAGTCATAAATTTACTCATCTAGAACATATTGTAAAATCTCCTAAGAAATACAAATGAGATATTGACTATTACAAGATAGTTTATAAACAAGTGATGCAATATGTTAGAAGGTAAAATAAATTGAAGTAAAAGAAAGAAATAGAGCAGTCATGGAGGGTACACCTTGCTGAGAGAGTAATACTTCAGCAAAACCCAAAGAAGATGAGTTATAGCTTCAGGGTGGCTGCTCGACTTTCTTTTTAGCTTCCAAGATGATCGACCCAAATCTAAGCTCATTACAGTGCCTTAGAGGTCCCTGAGGACTATGCAGTCACAGCCCTTTCTCCTTTGGAGAAACACGGTGGCTGAGCCCAAGGATCCCAGTACCAAACTGTATTCAAATGCTGCCTCTACCACTTTCAAGGTGCATGGCTTTGTGGTGGTATTCCATTCCTCTGAGCCCCAGTTCCCTGCTTCAAACTGGAGATATTAATAGGACCTACGTCACAGGGCTCTTTTCAGGATTTAGTGAGCTAGCACAGGTGAATTCCTTTGCACACAGGAAGAACTCAATAAAATCAGCTGTAATTACTGAGCCTCGATCTGGTCTCTCAACATTTATTTACATTTTCCTTGGTCCTGGCTCTTTACCCATACTGATATTTTAACATTGTTTATGGTTTGTGCTTCTGTGGTAAGCCACCTCAAATCCTTTGTGGATTAGGGTAGGTTATAAATAAGTAAGTAAATAAATAAAAATCCGGACAGGAGAATATTTACACAGAAGCAAAACATTTCATTACTAACAAACTGAATTGCAAGTGAGGCCAAAAGCAAGAAATATTGATTCTGATTCCTAAGAGTCCATCAAAAGCCACGACAAGGCATCCTCTGGTTTCCCTTCGACCATTTTTGCCCTCCCTCCCTCCTCTCTCCTTACTCTACCCTCTCTTCTTTCCAAACACTTCTTCCTTCCTCAACACAGAGCAAATGAGTCACACAAAATGACTCAGTAGCCCCCCCAAGTCCTCCCAGCCTCCTAGTGCTTCAGTGTCGTGGGCCTCACAGAGCTGCTCTTCCCCATTAGAAAAGAGATAGAAAACAGATAGGGTCACCTTCCATGTTGACACACTTACGGGCAGAATGCTGGCTCTGTGAACTACCAGACATAGGCTGGACCCTCTCGTGTCAAGAGTAACCGAGCTGTGTGGTGACACAAAAGTTCCTGAAGCCCTCAGTGCCCCTAATTCCTGATGGGCAGTAACAGTAACTCCCAAGGTGCTTGTGTAGACGAAAAAGATAGAATTTAGGACTGCAACATATTATTTTCAAAGTCTTCCATGAATGTTGACTGGACCAAAGTAACCCTTAGAGGGTTAAACATCTTCATAGGGGTGGACGTAGCAGACACAAGGTAAACAAGCTGGTTGAGGTATATCCCTACTTGATAGAAACCCTGGCAAGAAGCAAAGGAGAAAAGTCATTTGAGTCCTGACTACTATATTTTATTTTATTTTATTTTATTTTATTTTATTTTATTTTATTTTATTTTATTTTATTTTTAATTATGTGTATGTCTGTCTGAGTGTATGCCATGTAACTACTAGTGCCTGTGAAAGCCAGAAGACAGTGTTGGGTCTCCTAGAGCTGTGAGCACCTCTGATGTGGGTGCTGGGAACTGAACTCAGGTCCTTAGCAAGAGCACTGTGTGCCCTTAACCACTGAGCCACTTCTCTAGCCCCGGAGCCCCTACTATTAGAGGGGCTTTCAGGGGTCTTCCTTGCTTCTCTCTTTGATATGAGCATCGATAGCTATAATGACAGCCAGGGGTGATCTCTGCACAGAGCAGGGGGAGTTCAGGAGGAAGCCCTGTCCCCCACCCCCACCCTCAGGAAAGACCAATCTCCACCACAGTGCATCACAGGCAGGACTGACAGAAACCCTCCAGGTCCCGCTGTGCCTCCTCTGTGATTCCTGCACTGACAGATCATGAACCTGGGGCTTTGCTAACCTGCAGTGAGACCCCAAAGTCTTCTTTCTCTCTGACTAACATCTGCTACCCCATGCCCAGAGCAAAAGCTCTCTATTCTGTGAGCTTGGACTTTGGAACTGGCTAGAACTTCATTTGAAGAATACACCTCTTACGTGACATTAATTAAGTTGTTTATTCTTTCTGGTCCCTCTAGATTGCAAGCATATCAAAAATGCCCACCACTTACCAAAATAGCCACAAAGATTAGATAAAGCAATACGGTGGGAATACACGAAGCACTGCCCCATCCATAGTGGGCACTCAGTAGCCTCTAGTCACTTTAATGACACCTGGGGAAGCTTAGCCTGACATTCCACCATGGTGTTGTTACACTCAAAGAGGGGCAGCAGATACCCAAACAACAGCACTCCTGGGGAGCCAGGGAATAAGGCCTGGATGCCACACTGATTCCTTTCTCCCCACTGCCTGGAAAGGAAATTCCTAGAGGGTAAGCAGGAGACCTAGCTTGTCTCTGTGCCTTTCCTTGGCAAAAGAGAAGACCCAGCTTAGGGTCTCCAGATCAATATTCTTTTTTTTTTAAAGATTTATTTATTTTATTTATGAGTACACTGTAGCTGTCTTCAGACACACCTGAAGAGGGCATTGAATCTTATTACGGATGGTTTTGAGCCACCATGTGGTTGCTGGGATTTGAACTCAGGACCTCTGGAAGTGAAGTCAGTGCTCTTAACCGCTGAGCCATCTCTCCAGCCCCAGATCAATATTCTTGACCTTCTGACACATACTGATGGATCCTTCTATGCAGGGAAGCAGGGAGAACCAAAGTCACTGTCTGGAAGTCTAGAGTGCATCTGGGGGAAAGGCAAAGAACGCCCATCACAGCCGATACGGAGTAATGGCGGCCGAGTGTCTCTGGAAACACAGCTTTAGCTGTCCCTTGGATAGAATGGAGAGAGCCATTGTAGGCTGTCCGATAAAGGACTGACATTTCGCTCAGACCGCCACCTAGAGAACGATCTGAGGGTGGCCAGGGAGGTTCCAAGGAGAAGGTGACACTTCATGTTGAAAAAATTGCACAAAGCCTGGGGGAAGGGAGGGTTGGACATTCCAGACTAAAGCACAGCGTGGTCAATGTCCCAGAGAGGGGAGAGTTTGGTGACAGGGGAAAACTGCAGGGCAGCATAAGAAAGCGGAGCACCTCTGGGTACACGGAATGAAGGTTATAACTACTGTAGGAAAACACGAGAAGCAGGCCTGCAGTCCTAACTAGGAGAATCACCGAAGACCTCATGGAAGTAGTATATTAAAGAGGTAGTAGGAGAAAGGAAAACCGTACGGTTTTCTGGGGCCAAGAGATTAACACTGTAAAGGTCCTGGGGCCTGAGAGGCTGCCATCTTGGTAATGGCCACAGATTGGGAGGAAGGAGTGAAGGGCTGGAAGTTAGAGCATTAAAGGACGCCTGCTCTTATGAAGACCCTCCCAGGCTATAAGGGGCGCTTTGGCTTTCTCTTGAGTGCAATGGCCACCGGCTGGGGAGGCTCTGACAAAGGAGAGATGCAACCTGGTGCGCGTTTCAAAAGGATCGCTCGGACTACTCTGTAAAGAAACAGCTGCAGGTGGCCGAGGATGGAAGACTCGTAAAGAGGCTACTGCTGAAATTCAAACTACGGAGAAGAGCGGTGGCTGGTACCCTTCTTTTTAGTAGCCGCATGCAGCTTCTCATTTTCGCCATGTAAAACTGCTGCGTGCGCAATCCACTGCTCCACATAGCCTGCAGTGGGGTGAAATTTCAGGAAACAGCCCCGGAGAAGGTAAGATTGGAAATATGCCACACCTGGGCCGCCCTTGAAACCCTGGTGCCCACATGAAAGCAAAGCAGATGAGTGCCTGTCCTGCTGCCTAAGTCAGGAAAGCTAACCCCGATGGAGAGAGAGGTGTCCACCCTCTCTTGCTCTACAGAGACAGAAAAAGAAGGAGTGGGAAGTAAGGCGCCTCCTCCGAGTCCTGGAACAGGTCCTGAGCTCCCGGGTATGCGGTGTTCCGCGGGTACAGGTGCCAGCATCCTGGCAGGAAGCGCTACAGCATCCCCCCTGGGCACGAACACTCCCACCCCAGCTCTGACCCCTTTGTCTAGCTTGCCTCTACCCTCATCCATCTGTCTGTCCATCCCACTCCAGATAAAATGTGTACAGCCCTAGTGGGGTCCCTCTGGCGGTTGCCGTAGTCGCGCAGCCCCGACCCGGGGCTCCCGAGAGAAGAAAATCATGAATGAAATGGATGCGGCGCTCCCACTCCCCCGCCCTCTCAGTCCAGGCAACCTTGGCATGGGGGCGGCGCCTGTGGGGACTCCGCACAGAGTTGCAGTGGGCGAAGGGGCACCGGAGATGGGAGCCGATGTTAAGGGTCTGTAGTCCGCCCCCCTAGAGCTCTAGGCGATGCCGGAGCTCCCCACCCCCACCCCGCCAAGCTGGCGAGCCCTGCGCAATTCCCGGGGAGCGGCGCAAGCCCGTCTGGGGGCGGGGCGGAGCCCGGGCTGGGGGTGCCAAGCAGACCCGGCAGCTGCGCCCGCGACTCTGCAGTCCAGGCGCATTTGGTGGGGCGATTGGGCAGGGAGCACGCAAGGAGAGCGGGACTGAGGGCTCCGCGGACAGACCGACAGACGGACGCCCCCGCACACGCAGACGCACCGAGCTCCGCACGGCCCCTGTCACACACAGACAGGGACACACGCAGACACGCACACTCGCGCGCTCACATCCTCCCGCCAGCCTTCTTGTCCGCCGGCGCCCGGAGCCCGCTCTGGCCGGTAAGTGAGGCGCCTTTGTGTGAGAAGCCGGGAGGCATTGGTACGGGGTCCCCTCTGGGGCGGTAGCGAAACTGACATTGCCTCCAACCCACGGGACCCAGGAGCCCGAGTCCGCCCCCGCCACGCCCCCCGTAGGGCACCCTGAAGACTGGAAGTGGGGTCCCCAATGCAGAGGAGGAGGCTTGTGGTTGGGGACCACGGAGGGAGCGTGCTCTTCTATGGTTCCAAGGAGGGATCCAGATAGTGGTCCAGGTCAGAGCTTCTGCGGCCCAGGCTGGTGTGCAGCTCTCAGCTGCAGCGCCTCTCTGAAGTCTGAACCCCAGAGAGGGGTGATGGAAACGGTGGCTAGCCAGCTGGTAGCCAAATTGTGCCTTCCCTAAGACCCTTTAGCTATCGGTTCCAAAATAGAATCCCGGTGCATTTCCCCTCCTCCCGACATATTGCTTTCTTTCCTGGAGGAGGCCCAGGCTCCTGCAAAGCTTGGGTCAGAATCCTCATCAAGGATCAATTAGAGAGATGAGTAGGATCATAGGGCCGGAAAAACTCATTTGATAGCTTCATGTTCCAGACAGGGAAACTGAGGTCCAATGAGGTGGTAAGGCCAAGGTCACTAGAGAGTTAGTAAGCAAAGCATGCATCAGAATCTGGGGTGCTTGGTTTTTATACTCATTTTCTCCCCTACACAATCAGACCCAATCCCCAGGAAACCCCAGAGCTCAGAAATTCACGTGAGTATGCCAGGTGAGTCTTGGCAATGCTGGCCCTTCCCCCAACTGAAACTGAAGATGCCATTCATTTCCTGTCATCCTTACTGGTTTAAAAAATTGGGAGTGGGTGCTTTAATTTACCTCATTTCGCCTCTAGAGGGGCTCTGTTTTGCAAGCATCCATGGTTTGGAAGGTAATTCGGAGAATGAAGCAGAAATTAGATTCCTGGTGTGAATCCAGCCCTTCCAGAAGTTGCTAAGCCTGAGGGTCCCCAGTTGGACCAGGTGATGTGGCATTCCATTCACCTAACTTTGGGATGACCACGTGCCCTCCAAGTCAGCCACTCTGCTGTCCTCCATAAGGACCCACTTTTTCTCATCCAACCATGTCTTTGTAGAGGACTAATCAGCCTTCCTTTGTGGAGGCCCCCAGGCCCTCACCAATGTTCCTTTTTCTTGCTATTTATTAAGGCTGGCCTCTTGGTATTGCTGAGAAAGCTGCCGAGGAAGCTTTAGTTACAGCTGCACCAGGCACCCTCAAGGGCAGTTCAGTGTCCCCATGCAGAGTGGGCTGTCTGGTGACAGAAAGTGTCAAGAGAGATAGGTCTGAGGAATTCAAGCACGAGATAGAGAAAGGATGAAGTTGGAGAGTTCGGATGGGATAGGGTTCAAGTTAAAAATCAAGTTCAGTCTCTAGGGACATGAGGCTATCTCAAGAACGTCCTTCTTGAGCTAGGTAAGCAGACTAACATGGAGCAGGGCAAAGGTGGCCTCATAAGAGCCCCAGGAGCCACGGCTGGCACAGTAGTCTATGTAGATGGTATCCTTCTCCTAAGAGGCACCGTTTGTACTGACTTCATAAAGAACTGAGGCACTTAGGTTTGGGATATATCAAAGTTCCCACCCTGAGCGTGGGACACCTTGGTCCCAGGTCCAGCTCCTCTTCACCACTGTGTAGTTCAGAAGCTTCTTGTAACCTCTCTGTAGTACACTTTCTCCTTGAGGAAAATTCTCTCATGTCCAGGATTCCAGGGCTACACCTTTCGTTGGGGATAGCCTGAGGACAAGGGGAAAACATTTATTTATATAACTACTCTGGGCCTGGTTTCCTCTCCTTTCACTTTGTGAGGGAATGTTTCCTGACTTAAAGAGAGAATAATGCATGTAGGTTACTGAGCACAGTTCCCAGGTCAGAGGGAGGACTCAGGAACTGAATGATTCTTACATTAATGCCTTAGCTTTGCACATATGCCTTCTGCTTGTTCCCGTCTTCAGGTTGTTTGAGGATGTGGGATTTTAAGTCCTCTTGGTGATTCTCCCTAAAGCCAGTTCTCTTCCTGCTGACCTATGCCTTGATCTAGTGCTCAGTCCCTATAAGATATCCATGTCAACACCCTGGCGGACTTTTGCTTACCAGTTTAACTTGAGTGATTAGGCAATTCATCTTCAGACAGTGCTGAGGCTTTTCTTACCCTTGGCCACCTGTATTTACTCTGCACAGCACAACAGCGATGCTGAGAGCTCCAACCACTCCATTAAGCAGGTGGGGAAGTTAAAATACGAGTCTCCAGGGAACAAACAAGGCAGTATAACCTACTTAAAAAGTTTAGAAGAAGGGCAGATTTCTTCTTCTTGAGAATCGAGGTGTTTTCTGAAGCTCGGTGGTACCTGAGCTAGGTCTAAGTGATTCGTATATTAGAAGACAGATAGGATGCTTCCAAGAGGTAGAAACAGTCCGAGCAGGGAGCAGACAGATTCAAGGACATGGAACATGGTCAGAAACTGAAAAGTGATCCATCCCACACTGAAGCCATGAGTTAAAACCAACTCATGATGAGGCTTTGGTAGTGGCAGGTGCTGGGGCACTGAATGCCAAGCCAAGAAATTGGACTTTCATTGTCGAGTGCAGGAGAGATGTAATCAGACTTGCTACAAGGAGAATAAGCTGGATGGAGACAGTCTGTTGACAGGGAGCTCAAGTAGGAAAAGATGACAGTAGCCTATGGAGAGATAACAAGGTCCTGGACTGGGGGCAGTTGGAAGAACAGATAGAAAAGAGATCTGGCATCAGCAAGAGGTCTCATCACCAAAACATGCAGGTGACTTGGTGTGGGCGCTTCAGGGAAGGAGGAGTAAGCGAGGGCAAGGCTTCGTGGTTTGAATGGCTGATGTTGCCATTCACAAAAAGAATCCACCAGGAGGGGGAAGGAGGCTCTAAACAAATAGGAGTGGCTGACAGGAGCCATGATGACTCCCAATGCAAAGCTCTGCTTGCCAAGCACGTGATATGGTCAAGAGCTAGTTCATCCATTCATCCTCTGATGCACAGGAACATCCGTGATGTGCTGGCTTGTTGCAGGTTCCAGGAATGTTTTGCTGAAAAAGACAAACTTCCTACGCCAGGAGGGACAGAAAATAAAGCCTAAGCAAGATAAAATGCTCGAGGTTTGCCTCTGGAGCAGGATAAAGCAGGAGAAGGAGTAAGTGGTGGGTAAGGGTGGAGGAAGGGACTTTCCTTAAACAAAACTGCCTTTGGGGAGTTGATATCCAAACAAAGCCCTGAAAGAAGTGACAAGGAGATGTGAGAGAGCAATCGTTTCTAGAAGAGCCCTGGGATAAGACTAGATGGGCATTTCTAAGGAGGCTGTGCTGCTGTAAGAGGAAGAAGTCTGGCAGGGAAAGGGGCATGAAAGAGGGCAGGTCCCATCATTCGGCTGCTTATAGGTCTGAGGAATGAGACCCATAATACATTGGTGTTAATGAGTCCAAGAGGACCTGAGTCCTATTTGTGTATTCTTAGTGCCTAGCAAAATAGCCCTAGTGCTATACAGTGGCTCACTAAATATAGTCATTGAAGGGATAAATGTTGGAACTGGCCATTCATGTACCAGATTTCACATCTTACACTTTCATGAACCAATAAATATATTGTGTCATGGTAAGGATATAGTGAACTTGTAGTATAGTCACATTCATAAAACTTAGGAGACGTGAATGCCTTGTGCATTGAGTAAATTGAGGAAAATGCATGTGTCTTGGGCAGCAACATGGCCCAAGAGATAAAAACACTTGCCATCAAAGCCTTGGTTTGATCCCTGAAACCCATGGAAAGATGGAAAGAGGGAAATGACTGTAAAACTGTCCTCTGACCTCCGTACACAAACCATAGTGCTCATGCACCCACACATAAGCATAGTAATTTTTTAAAATCTTCATATCTTGTTCAGTCTGACTCAATGTTGTAAACACTGCTAATGACTGGGGGCTAAGTAGAAAGACATACATGCAATGATTGCAAACCAGTTAAAATGATAACATTTGAGGTCTTTGATCTTACTTCTATGGTTAAGGTAGAGCCTTCTGTTCATTCCACAGTTTCTCCTGTTCAACTCCTTCACCCTCAGCCACTTTTCTAACAAACATTCTGAAGACACTGACTTCTCGCACAGAGGCACAGATTGCAGGACAAGGCATTATAGTCTCTAGTAAAAAGAAAGCTCCCCCAAAAGGCAGATAATACAACATGGAAACTATTTATAGTATTAATATATTAGATACCTAGCTTGCTATTTAAATGAATCTACAAGTGTCAAGGGTAAAACTTTAGAAGGTAGCTAGCCATATAAAACCTATGCATTAAACTGAACAAGGTGTGTATGGGTATTTCAAATGATATGGAGCCCTGTGCTAAAAACAAAAGAAGCTCACCAGAAAATACCTATGCACCCATATGGATTGGCACAATTGTAGATGTGTTCTGACCCGAAACCTGCCCACAGCTGAGTGACCTGAGTGAGGGTCTTCCCATCTCCCAAACTCAGTTTTCCTATCTCTAGCAGGGGTAGGGTGTGGGTTGCCAGGATACTGCAACACTAAGCCCTCCTAGCCTGTGCAGTTGACAGTGATGTCGTGGCTCCCTGTGGTCATCAGATGATTTGGGGTTGAGGGGCAGATAGGTAACATGTGGCCTGCTGCCAACATGAGCTGTTCCCACGAACAGGAAGCCAACTGTGAGGCTGTACCTTGTGGGGAACAAGTTGACAGGTGGTCTTAGTCTAAGACTCGAGGACTGAACCTCGTGGTCCAAACTCCATCTGAGTCTAGCAGATGCTTTGGCTCTATAGCCTGGAACATGAAGAAGACAATTTGGGACACATGAGCTGGATCCTGGAGAAAATGGAGATATAGAGACACATGATCAAGTAGTTCTAGGGGTGCATCAGAGGGCATGCTTGCGGCCCTGCTTTTAGTTCTTTGGGGTATACCTAGTGGTAAAATTGCTGGCTTATATGGT